CCCGCCCCCCGCGTCCCAGGGGAGGACCCAGAGTCCTGGGCGCCGCCGCGGCCATCTTGGTCGGGTGGGTACTCAGCAGCCGAGAACCTTGCTGAGCTGAGCGGGCGCCTAGCGTTTCCTGCTGGTTCGACACCTGACCCCTCCCCCAGGGATTATGTACACGCATCGTTGGGCTTCATGGAGGTGGAAAGGGGGGCAAAGGAAGGTTTGGGGGGCACGTCCGGCTTTAGCGAGGGCGTGCGCTTCAGCCCCGCCCGGGTCAGTGAGTTGTAGGCATTGAGGCTGGGCTGCCTCGAAACAGTCACGGCCTGGCCCGAGGGCTGCGAGCTGTGCACCTGGATGGAGTCCACCCTCTGCGGGGCGGGGGGTGGGTTGTCTCCCCGGCCAAAGCTCTGGTTTCTGGAGAGGTGGGAGGAATTGGAGGAGTTAGTATTGTTTCTTTTGAGCGTGGCGGCCTGGTGGCTTCTCGTGAGCGAGTTCGTGGGGTAGCTCCTCTTATAATCAAGCCCGTAGGACGAGGAGTGGTGCATCTCCAGCCGCTTGCTCAGGCCGTTCTGAGACAGGGAGGCTCCGGGAGGACCCAGGGAGGCCTCCCGCTGGGGGACTTTGGGGGGCAGGCTGTCCAGGTTCTCCACCAGGTTCACCCCATGGTTGGGACTCTTGCTGCTGAGATGTTCCTTGATGGTCTTATATTCCAGGGTGGCCGCCTGGTCCTCCAGTGCCAACTGGGCCACCTCGCTCATTTTGGGCTGGTCCACGTACTCGTGCTGGTAGCCCTGCTGCGTGATGGGCAGCACGACCACGCTGGGGATGTGGCTGGGGGAGGCCCGAAGGGGCAGGTCGGTGGGGATCACGGGGGAGCCCATGGGGGGCATGTCCTTGGTGCAGGCGTTGATGAGGTTCTGGTTCCTTTCCCACTCGCGGCTGCCGCGGTTGGGCTTGCGCTTCTGCTGCAGTGTCGGGGTGGACTCTGGGGTAGGCAGGGCAGCCAGGTCCAGGTGGTGCTGGTCAGCCTTGATGAGCATCTTAGCGGTGTTGCTGGGAGTGGCGAGCTTGCCGTTGTGCATGAGTGGTGTAAGGATGGCCTCCGGCTTGGGGTCTTTGGACTGGGTGTCCCCAAAGAGGCCGCTGAGCTTGGTGACGCTGCTCATGGAGCCGCGGCGCGAGTGGGCGAGCTCCTTCTCCTTGCGGTGCACGGAGGACACGTCTTTGCGACGGTGATCGCAGACGCAGTAGACGATGATGCCCGAGAAGACGGCTCCCATGACAAAAGCCAGAATGACCGCAATGGCCAGGAGGGTGACAGGAACGAGCTGGTCGTGGCCTTTGAGATAACTCTCCCGAATCACTCCTGCAAAATACATCGCATATGGTGTTAAGAAATGAAAGCAGACCGTGAGGCTGATTTTTGTTTGGCATGCACCCAGTTAATTAATAACAGTAATAAGTGAGAATAGCACCTCCGCAGAACTCGTCTTCAAGACACCCTTTGCCAAACGTTAACTAATTAATCCTCCCCACCCCACCCCCAAGTATGTAAATAGACTTCAGTTGTTGCCCTCTTAGTGTTCTAAAAGTGTTTCCCCCTCTTTTCAAGTACAGGCTCTTTCTAGTTTGCTTCAGTCCGTGGAATATGGAAGTTTTTCCTTTCCAAAATTTATCCTTCTTTCCCTCTCATCTCTTTTCAATCTTCCCGGTCCTAAAACCGCGAGATATTTTGAGTCTGGGGGAATAGGAAACAATTTTATGCATGTTAAATGAACAAATTGCACACCACTCCAGGCTTCCAGGGACTTTGCTGATGACTTCCTGTGGGCAACATGGCCTCTATCTGGAGAAAAGCTGGTTAGCATTTCAACCAACTGGGGGAAAGACAGGGTGTATCATTTATAGTGTAAGAGAATAGCTAAAGCGCACAGATTACAAATATTTATGCTGATTTTGCATCACCTCTACAAGGGAGAAAAAATCCCCGTGCACACTCAGTTTCAGATAAATATGCTAAATGTTTGAATGAAGCTCTTCCCTTACTTGAGCTGAAAGAATATTTAGAAAAAGAGACCATTTGGGCTCCTGTAGTGAGTTTGAGAAGTGTCAGGTATCATTATTACAGCTAGAGTTTGCTGTCACGGTGAAATTCTTCAGCAGAGCTAATCTCTTCAGTTTAATAAAAATTATGTGGCTCTACCTGTCAATAATCTTACACTACATAAACCAAGATGCTCTGTTTCTGAAGAAAGTGGCTTTCCCTGTTGCTGCTTAATTAGCCACCAAGCCGAGAGACTAATCAAATGCAAACACTGAAGCTTTTATTTTTTAATACCAAGTGAGAATACACATCACAATTGTCAGATCTTAAGTGCTTGATGCAGTAGCTAAAAAAATAAAATCTCAAATACCTCAATTCCTGCCTCTGGAGAGTGAAAGCACATGAATACATTAGAGGCTCTGCATGGGCTGAGGAAATGTAAACATTGTTCCTATTATGGAAATGATAGTAAGACAGAAAATGTACCTTCTCTGGTCTCAGGAGACACATTTTTCATCGACTAAATCCACTCTTTCTGGAATATGTTTAATGTGTTTTACTGGCAGATAACAGTGGCATAGAATTAGAATGGAATGAAATAAAAATCTCTATCCCTTCCCAAACCCACAACACACAGCCCTTACACTTCTGCTGAAATGCTTTGTGTGTCACAGCTGAGACCTTGAAGAAATGCAGCTTTGTCACGGAGTTTTTCTGCTAAAATATGTTGATTGGTGAAGCAGTGGTTTTAAATCTCAGAAGCCTTAGCCTGGAGAAGAAAACCTTCTCTTTCTCTTTGTGAACTCTCCTCCCGCCCCCAATTGTGACATCACAGTTGGTTGCTATGGAAATGATTGTCCTGTGACAGAGGATTGTGACGTCAGGTGGGGGGGGGATAAAAAGAAGCAGCAAATATCTCTTGAGAAATGAAGATTCTGTGATTAAACAAATGCCCTTGGTAGTGAAGGGCAGGGGAGGTAATTCACCCCAGGGAGAAGATAGTAAGACACTGAATAATTTCCGTACGTGACACTTGTCAAATATTTCAAGATTTATCTTCATGAACTTTTAAGGGGTAGAAACTGAGAAGCAAAAACGAGCAGGAAATTCAGCTGTAACTCACACCTTATGTGTTGTGGAGCTCCCCAAACAGTGGGGTGTCTTGTATCCAAATATGTTTTAATACCTAGTCACCAAGGAACTGTGCCAATGAGAATTTCTTCCTTAAATTTGCATTTCCTTGTTGTAATGCTAAAATAGCAACTGATTTTCTTTCAGTTTTGGTTTTGAGTGAGTTTCTACTGAACATCATTTTTAACCACGTACATATGATGGCACAAAAAATGTACACCTGTGAATAAAATGGGTTTAATTTTGCTTATTGGTGATGTCACCTATGCGGGGTACTAAATTTTTTCATAGCAGTGGGTATTTCGTGGGTCCCTTCCAGCCAACTGTATTTATGGGGGCTGAGCCTCCCCAGTAGATTTATACTTGTGATAGGTAGTTATCTACAATTGACTTTGGGATTTTACAATTTAAATTACCATCTCAACAAGAGAACTATAGAAAGCAGGAGGCTAGAGCAATCCATTTGTCTCATTTATTGTTTAATTGGGAGAACTCCAAAATTTTTAAGTTTATCCATTGCTTCTTTACTTTTAGCTCCCAAATAATTTTCTTTCATGTTTGAAGGTCCTTAACTGTCTTAGACTCATGGACCCCACTCGCTCTTTCACTGGGAAAAACTCTTTTAGTGGATGATATTTGAGTTCAGGTTTCTGGTTGTTAACAAATCAAGCAGGGTCTGACCTTTGAGAAAAATAGTGTCTCAGATGGCTTTCTCTGGCTCATTTTGTTATGTAAATAGTGTCCTTAAAAATCTTTCTGCATATACATCCCTCTTGCTTATAGCTGATTCACTTTGTTATAAAGCAGAAAATAACACACCATTGTAAAGCAATTATACTCCAGTAAAGATGTTAAAACAACCAACCAAACAAACAAAAATCCTTTCTGCATTTCTTCGGCTTTGAGATATCTACCGTGAGGCAGGGGGCTTCCCTCATCCACCTGTGCACATTCAGAAGCCCCCCCCCCCCATGTCCAAAGTTAGAAACAGGTCAGAGATTAAGTTGAAAGTAAAGTCAAGAAGATGTTAAAAGTTATTTTTGGAAAATGCCTTCCAAACTGAAAGCTTTCTACCTATATCATGAAAAAGGGCAAATGATTAAATCAACTTTTTGCCAATGGTCACTGCACAGGCTTGAACACACCAGACTTGTCAGTGAGGCCGGGGGTAGTGCAACACTAGAGCTCTCCAAAGGCCTGGAGTTTTAAGCTCCCATTTACTGTTGGGTGACCTTTGGGCAAATGACTTAACGTCTCTGAGCCTCAGTTTTTCCCATCTGCAATGTGGGGTTAACACATTTAATGCCTTACTGTGTAGTTACAAGAATCAGTTTAAGTAATGATTAAGAAAGAGCTTAAGTGCTGTAGTTTGCTGGACAAATCTAAAGGTCAGAGGAAGCCACAAAAGAGAAATGGTGTGTTAGTAGTTCACCGAGGGCTTAAGAGTAACAGTCATAGGCTTTGTCATTAGAATCCATTTGCTGTAGGTCTCCCAGGGGAGGGATAGACCTGTTCTTTCCGGCTCCAGACCTTCGGCTGTCCAGGCGTTGCCAAAGGGTTGCCAAAGGTCGATGAGGCAACATCAGGGAACATGGACCTGTTTTAGGACTGCCTATAGGTCCTGAGTTTTGAAATAAGTAAAACAACAACAGTGGGAAATGTTGAGCAAAACACAGAGATTATATACTCCTAGTGGAGGAATAATAATCCTGCAGTCAGCTCCTTGAGGGCAGGGACCATATTTTATATGCATTTATAATCCTAACCATCCCCAGGGCTCTTAGGTCGGACACTTAATAAGTGATTATTAAAGAAATGGGTTTGCAGTACATTGTAGAGACATTTTTTTAAATGGACTTCTAAATTTGGTGGGTCATCTTTGGAGTGACTGTATAACCTTGCTTCTGAAATCATAGAAACATATCTCCAATCATACAACAGAATATAATCATACTAACATTCATTAGGCAAAAGATATAAAGGTGCTCAGTATGTATTCAAAATAATAATAGGATAAACTGTTTTTTAAAAATGAAAAGACATTTGTTCTGGGATAACTCCACAAGAGAGGGTGAGGGTAAATGGGTTATTTGTAACAACTGAGTGCTCCAGTAGAATTGACTAATTCAAAACAAATGCGTCTTTACAAAGGGCACACAGGGCTGGGGCTGGAGAAACATCATTGCTTCAGGTGCTGCAGTGAGACCCTGGGGAAGTGGAGGGCCTTGGTAGGGTGGTATACTCCCTCCCCATGTTCCCCCACTGTAGAGGGGGAAAGTTGGCTCCACCCCGGGCTGTTGAAATGCCTTCCTCCATCAACCCCTGGGCCTTCTGCTGTCACCAATTGAAAATGGGGCATTAGTAATGAAAACAGTATCTGAAAAACCCTTTGCATTGATTAATTAACCGCCAGCTATTTCTCACCAGTCATGAGGTGCTAAATAGTTATTCTTTCCACCTTCCTATTGCAGGAAGCAAGACACACAATGGCTTAGAGATTTCTCTGAAATCATGCCTTAAATTGGCAGAACTGAGAAAGAATAGAATCTCCACTTTTTTTTTTTTTTTTCCTCTGAGGTGAGAGAGTTTTCAGATGCTGCTAGAAGGAGGTCTCAGAGGGGCAGTTTGAAGCTCTTTAGAGGCTGAAGCAATGAAATTATGAGCAACCCCGACCTCCAGGCCCTACAATACGTAGTTCAAAATAAGAACAATTATAAACTGCAAAATAAGAGGAAACCCAACACAGTTCTGATTTTTCCTATGATGACTATATCAATGCACTCTGAAATTTCACACATCAAATTCTTTATTTAAATAATGGTTTTTGGTGGCTCGCGGGTACTCTGCTGTTGTCTCTAGTCTGCACAGGGAGCCCAGCGCCAGGCTCTGGGACAACATACCTCAGAAAAGATGCTCTCCTAACTCAGGGCTCGATGGTGATGTTCTTGGTGGCTTGACTGTCACTCTCCTGGACTAATAAGGTTTTGGTGGCAAGCGTCTTGCAGCAAACATTTACTAAACACAGATGAAAGTACTATGCTGGGTTTTGGGGAGACAAAGGTGAAGGAGGCACAAACGCTGTGATCCAGTCGGGGAGAAGGTAGGTGCGCACACATCAGCTACATCCAAAGTGCGGAAGCGTTATGAGATGCATTGCTTCTGCCTAATATGGATGGGCAAAGGCTTTATGT